GTGAATGTTTTGCGTGTTTTTGATGGTATTGTCATGGGTCTGTATGTTTGGTAATCCATATGTGAATATTTAGGGGCAACCGAAGGTTTAACGGTTGATTGTAAGGTTACCTGTGTTTGTGAAGGATTTGTATTTCTTGGTGTTGTTAAATTTGGGCGTATTGGTGAAATACTTTGTTGTGTAGTTGTTGTGTGTACAATTTCTTCATTTATGAAGTGTGATGGTGTCTGGATATCTTGTTGAGTAAGATTCCTAGTTCCATTGAGGTTTTCATTGTGTATGACTGTAGAGTTTAAACTATTATTTTGTGTATCGGGCAAAAATGTATTATAGTTTAATGGTGTTGCATCAATGGTGAATGGTATTACTTTTACATAATCTCTTATGTAAGATATCGTACTTATTGCTTGACTTGAGATTGATTGTGGGAAGCTTATAAATGCGGGATGAGACCATTCGGGGTCCCAAACATAATCTGATTGTTCTGTGATAGCGGTATCATCGTTCGAGTTTTGGGGTCTAAAATTTTTTCTTGCTTGTGCAATTAAATCAATATTGTGTGTGAAATAATCTATTATGAACCATGCCAAAATTTTTTGTAGATCGTGTTTTGTATGTTGTGAAACGTCGTCTTTCGTGAAATTTTCTTTAATGATGTTTAAATAACTAGAGAGTAGTGTTATTTCATGTCGTACTCTTAAATGTTTAGATGTTTCTGTCGGTGAGACATTTGTTATTGGGATTTCGTTTTCTAATATCGAAATATAACTATATATTATTGCGAAAACTTCATTGGTGAATATGGAGTTTGCTCTTTGTGAGTTATGATATTGGATGCTTTTTATATATTCTGAAAAAACTTTTGAAAATTCTAAATCAAGATCGTCTGTTTGGATTGTATATTTTCTATGATTATGGTTTGGTGAGGTGAATTCTATGGAGTAGATTCCATACTGTTGTGTTATGTTGCATATATCTTTTAAGTAGTGGTCTATGATTTGTCTTTTGATTTTTACATCTGGGAACTCTGTTTTACATGGACTGATTCCGGGTTCAAATAAATTTAATAGTAAATTTTTGCAAAATATATGCTGTCCTCTATCAGTGGTTGCATCTACTATAAAGGGGAAAATATCATCATCATCTGGACTTTCTTCACCTGGGGTGTGCGTTGAGCTCATTTTATCGTTCGATGACTGTTAATATGTAATTATTAATGTGTCGAATTGGTTGATTCCAATTGTATAAATGTACTGGTTTGTGTTTATACTGCTTTTTTATTCTTCTTTTTCCTCTTTTTGATGAATTTGAAGTTGTTTCTGAGTCAGAAAAATATAATTGATCGTGAAGTGGGCAATTTTTATCTATTGATTCTTTTAGTTTGTAAAGTTCGTCTAAACTGTTGGTTTCTGATTCTGAAAATGCGTTTCGATTTTTTGAAAATCTTTTTCGTGTTATTTGTCTTTGTTTAGTTATTATTTTTCTTTTTAGTGTTTGTCGTTTTGTTCGAATGTATCCAACTGTTTGTGTATGAGGTGTGATTACAAGGTCGTATTTTTTGTTATCTATTTCACAATTGTGTAAAACGATTGTTTGTTTATTTCCTAGGTTTTTAAATGACATAAGGTTTAGGATGACGGATGCAAAAGGTTGTTAAATGGTTTCTATTTTCCTAAACTGTTAGTTCTTACGATTTTTTGGTTAGCTTAACCTGGGTCTATTTGTTCAGGGTTGGAGAGAAAAGTATATCGATTCCGAAGAATGATTTTTTACTTTCTCGTGGCTAGTATAAGTTAAGGTGTTAACTTACTTAATCTTACTTAGGGGTAGTGATTGTGTTCAAGGGTTGGAGAATAGTAAATCGATCCACAGGGTTCAGGTATAATTAGAACGCGAGTAGTTCGTTAGATACTATTTTAAACTTACTAAGTCTAAGATTTATCCTGGGTCTGGTAAGAGGGGGGGTCAAGTGAAGGATGAATAACCGAAGTTCTTCACTGTTTATCCTAATTTGAATGATTAGTTTTGTTTAAAAATTTCTATTAGTCTTAGGTCTTTAGAAAGGGTTGGGTAGTGAATCGACGTTTGAGGTCGTTAGACACTAATTAAGTGGGTGGGGGAGAACAAAGTTGTTCTGTTTGATCCAAGGATAAGCCTTGATGATCAAATTTGAAATTTAATTAAGTAGAAAATGATTTAAGATCCAAGGATAAGCCTTGATGATCTGGTTTTAAAATTAGGTGAATTTAAGTTTTAATAAAATTTTAAATGTGTGTAAAGGAAAGATTTAGTGTTTTGATGATATTAGTGGGTTTATGATTGCTGTTATGTTTTAGATGATGGAGCTGGAACAACAGGATGATTTATGATTACTAACCATTTATTGTCATGCTACTAATTTTTATTTTTTATTTTTCAATAAAAATTTTTCAAACATGTTTTGTATATTACTGCAGAGTTTTAGGAAAACGATCTTAGATCTTTTTATCAATCGTTATTGTATATTAATAATTTTGTTTAGCGCCTGAAATGATTTTGAAGATTAACTTCAAGGTTTTATGTTTGCAAATGAAAATCTAAATTCATTGCCAGTAGTATTCTAAATATAAAAGTTTGTTCTGGTTTTTGCCTAACTATCATATAGCTATATGGCAAGTTTCGACTTTGTCGTATGTCGTCTCTGGTTCGAGGTCTTCTTCCAATTCCGGGTAGTTCTGTTATGGTTCGGAATATTGGCTCTGATCTATTGAGTCGTAGAGACATTTCGATTAAATTATTGTCGTATAACATTTTGTAAATGTTTTTGTCTAATTTCTAATCTATTTTGGTTAATTCTAAGCTATTAAGGTCTTGTTCGAGACTTATGGTCGCACCAGATGAGTTAGGTCTTGAGTGTATAACTCATAGAGTAATTTCGGATAGGGTACACCGTCTGCTCGTCACGCTATCTTATTTTCGGCCGGATAGATTCGTGCAACTTCTTAGTCTAATACCGATCCTAATCTTACTCTTATACTATCTAGTCTCAGGTTGTTTAACTAGTCTCTGCTAGGCTCAATAGATCTAGGGTATACTGGTTTATTGCGGCTGCTGAAGTGCTCGGGAGAGTCCAACTAATTTCTAAGTTAAATTCAAATCTCTCTGGTGCTGAAATTACAAGTAACTTCAGCACTTACAAATAAGTGGGTTGTTAGTTAGATGGATCATGATTGGTTAATATTAAATACTTTACATTGGTAAAATATCTAATTTATCCAATCATAAAATGTAGTTTAGATCAGGTTCCACTTTCTACTGATTTTCCGCAATAAAATATGTGGATTTTTTTGGCTGGAATAAGTATAGAAGTCTTGAACCAGGAGAAGTCATTTCTAAAAAACGATGTTTATCTGTTGCCAGATTAATTCAATTTTTTTTGATACTAGTATCGAATATGGTAAAATTTTCTGCGTTTTTTTCACAATAATAATTTTTCCCTACTATTTGAGACTTACTGAATGAATAAGTGTTTGAAAATTTAAAGAGCAGTTTCTTATCATGTTCAACATGCAGAAAAACAAAATCGGTTAATTGTGAAAATATTTTATATCAGGAATCAAGTAAAACAAACCCCTCTTCATACCCTCCCCCTACCCACGACTAAGCTCAACATAAAAAACCAAAAGAGTAACCTAAGTTAGTTTTGAAAGTGCAAAGCTTCCAGATTGACTAAAATTTATGTAATTTTAATGTACTCCATCCACTATTAAACTCACCCCAATAAAAAGAGTTACAATTGGCCGGCCAAAAATGGATACCATAAACTAGTGCCAAGGGGGGGGGGGGGGTTGGGACTTTAGGTGATGATGTCCAACTCCAGAAGGGAACAGCGGCCCATCCTCAACCCTCCCTAAATCAACCCCTGGACAAACATGAACACACATTTGTTCAGGTCTAATATTGAGCCGATTCCGCGCTCAATATTAGTACTCAGTACTGAATTTTTTGTCTTCTTTGCGCTGAAATTTTTTCTGTGCTCTAAAGTGGGGAACCTCTTTCTACTTGATTCCCATTCAAACTGTGATGCACTACAGTTCAGGGCGGATCTAGGTTTTTCTCGAGGGGCGAATTTTTTTCAAAGAAAATTCAAAAATTTTGTTGACTTTTCTTTCAGATTGCCCAGAACTTTTTTCCGAAGTCTCATAACTTACTTTCAGACCGTATTTTGCGCACAAGTGGACTTCTACAAAAATCAAACTGGCCAATAATGCCGTTTTGCTCACTTTGTGGAATAATTTGACCAAAAACTTTTGCCGTTCACTTCTCTGAAAATTAGTCGAAAAATTTGAGGATCCCTCCGCCGGAAATTGAAGTCGTAAAATAGGATGAAAGGGGCAATTTTGGTCGATTCCCCTAAATCCACCCGTGCTACAGTTTATAGATTGCAATCTTTCCAAATTTATTCATTATGGTTTTCAATATCAATGAAAAGCAGTTCGAAGCAAAGTTTTGTAAATTAAGAATAATGACTTCATTTCGGTTTAGTTTTCAAAGTTTTGATCAGTTTTAAAGCAGTCAAAAACGGACAAAACTGATTGATTGATTGGCACTAAAAGTATTGCAAGTGTTACCTGAATATGCTACAAAATGTGAAAGTTCTTTTAAGACTGGCTTCAAATTTTCGTTTGTCAAAAGATGGCTCTGGACATTTTGGGTTGTTTAACTTTACCTCTGCTGCTGTTTTTTTGGTATAGAAATTTTTTTAAAAACATGTCATTTAGAGCAGGGGTTTTGCTTTTTTTGATATTTCAATATGCATGCATTCAATTAAAGCTCAGTTTTTTTCTGAATGACAATTTAGGGAAAAGTAGTTACATTCAAAAACCTTTTCTTCTGTCTTTCTTGATAAATTTAATGTTTTTTCTTCAGTTTTTCTAATCTTCATCAGCTCAAAAAACACAAAGCAATCAACATGTATTTCTAAATACTAATGCATGCTAAATGCGCAACATGTTACTCACCTTCGTTTCCCACGATTCCTTTTTGCGCTAAAACAAAATAACATCACTTTAAAAATATATTTGAAAAAACTAAGGAGTTTGATGATTGAGTTCAAGACTTCTGTGGATTGGTCTGTCAGTATTACTCAGCACTGTTTCAAACCTTGTTCAAAATGCATTGAATTTGATATCATTCCATGCGATTGCCCTTTACGACATTTAGGTCAAAAAGTTAGATAAAAATTAATCGAGCCTTTGAATGATTCTGTGGATTGGTCTGTCAGTATTACTCAGCACTGTTTCAGAATTAAACCACTTTTATGTTCCCCCCAGTACTGTAGCAGAGAATAAACAGAAAGAAGAGATAAAACAGTATTGTTGCAGTACTTAAATAATACTGTAACAAAACTGTTGATTCTTTTTCTCTGTTGTTGTCTTGCTACAAAACTGCAATTTTTTTTCAAAGCTTACAGTGCCCTTGCAATACTGACTTTTCTCTGAAATAGTACTTAAATTATCAAAATAAAATGTATGTTAAGATTTTTACGCGTCGTTACAATAACAAAAAAATAGAGTTATATACAAGCAAAAACGCTGTAAACCCTCCTGAAAACTCCATTATTTTGAATCGCAAAGCTTACACGAATGGTTCGCACTGTCTCCTTATTATGAAATTTTGGAGAGAGTTCGATGCAAGGAGATTCAAAACTTCAGTGGACAATTTTCATTTATGGTCTTACTGACAGAAGGTTCTGATGCAAGAACTATTGATGCTGTGACACATGAAATGAGGCTGATTACAAAGCCGTACCCAAATTTGAACCTGTATATCAGTTTGAGTTAAAATTAGAAAAAACGTCTGCAAATTTTGTTAAATTTGAGATCATAGTCAGTTGTTGTTTGCTGTCACTGTTTTGAATTTAATCTTTCAGTGATGTTTGCAATTTTCAAGCGCTTTTATCTATTTATACTGCATTTTCTGCAACTTTTCAGTGCTGCAATTATGCTGATTTATCTCTGTTAGAATGCTGTTTTTATCGCTGATTAATTCCTGATCAGAGATAAACTGACGCTGCGCAGTACTGAAGCATTACTGATATTTTTACTGTAATATGACTGCAACAGTACTGATCTTCACTGCAAGATCAATCCGGTTTAACGCTCTTTGAACAAAATTCAGACTGACCAACCTTTTTATTTATAAGGTAAACCCTTGTTAACTAAAATGAAAGAATCAGTTAAATTAGCAAATGGTTAAAAATACATTTATATCATCTCCAAAAAAGTTCTCTCCGGAGAGTTTAAGTGTTTTCATGATATAACTCTCGGGCCAACTAACGCAATTTTATTTTTTTTGTTTTGGCCCAAGTAAAACGTTAGCATCAAGAGTTCAACTTTGTAAGGTGTGGCGTTGAATCTGAGTTAAAACAAAAACCGTAAATGGCAACCGTTGAAGTGCTTGAACTTTTCAAAATTGAATAGTTTTGTTTTTCAATTGCTTCAGAAGTTGTCGCAAATTGCGCATAATGCAATCACGTGCTAAGTTTTAGGTTCGAATCACAAGTATAGTTTTTCTTGAACTATTTTCCACTTGAGTTTGCTTGTTTTGCAAATCAATCTAAACTCACTGAAAGTTTGATTTACTGAGAATTTGCTAGAAGATCACTTGCTGTTGTTAGTATGAACAGCAGATGTTTAAAAGTTGACAAAATTGACTTAGCGATCGAAAGTTGTATCAATTTGGTTACCTTAGCAATTCAAAATTAATCCTAGAGGCATCGTACAAGCATTATAACATTGAATATCTCGTTCAAAACCAATATTTAACTAAATAGCTTTCTCAATAAGTTTTGAAATTACATGTAACGCTTGCTGAATTCGGGGACTTATGTTGCGAACATTGCGCCTCAAAAGTTGGTAGATGGAATTTCGCGCGACAAGAAAACTTGTGCGACTAAACAATATTTTTCGCGACTTTGAGCGACCCAAAAAAATAAAGTTGCGTTTGAAAACGGTTGTATTACGCCATTGCGCGAATTATAATTCATGCTTTTCACGTTAAATATTCATGCGAAGCTTGACCAGAGTAATTGCACAAATTTTCATGATATGTGAGTGTATTGCTGTGAGCACAAATTTTCGAAAAAAAGTTGTAAAATATTGCTTTTATTTTTGGTCTAAAGATGTAAAAAAAACCTTTATCTGAGAATTGATACTTGCAAAACCTATTTTTAATTGTTTTAACTTCTTCTGCGGTAACACTTAAATTGCAAAACTGCAATGAGACAGCCTTGAAAATTACAGTAAGCATCTTTCCTCAGAAGAAACATTTTGCTTAAATTTTCGAGAAAAAAAAAGATCAAAAAATTTTTGAAAATTTTGTGCGACTCGTACTTTAACCTATATTATGACTTTTCGCGAGCCCTGAGTGACAAAACATGAATTTGCTCGCAACATGAGTCGCAGTCGTCTACCTAGGAAACATAACACATGACGTATGACGGGCTTACTAGCAGGTCCTCGTATGTAATGACGCGGAATTTTTTGATCAACACGTTCTAAAAAACGAGTAAAAACTTCATTTCGGTACTGTTTTTCAACATCGAGACTTGATTTTGCAACAACTTAATTTTTATTTAATCCCACCTATTTCCGCCACAATACCTCCTCAAACCCAATTCCCGCCACATACTCTGAGTGCGGGGCAAGCTTGAAGAACTTGCTTAAGAGCAAAATCTTATTGCCAAATTAAAAAAAAAAAATTGAGTAAATTGACAAATGGATTAAGCTGTTGGTAACGCAGAAAAACTTAAAAACAATTTATACAGGTTAAAATTCAATATGATCCATTTTAAGCGGACTTTAAATTGATTGTAATGAGACCTAAAATTGTTGATATGAATAAGTCATGATGGAATTTAATGGAATATTGAGAGAGTTCATTAGTTGCATTGTCTCAAAATATAATCATAATAATAATCGATTACAACCTCAACATTTTTGAAAATGAAACCAGATTATAAACAATTTTTATTGATGGAACTTCAAAAATTGTTTTCATAAAATATAGACTCCACGACATTATTTTTTGGTTGGTAAATATATATTCTGCGCGTTTTCGGTTAGCTACTTTTTCGGCTAGTTTATTCACGCTCAATTTTTAAAATTTAGCCGAAAATACGTACTTAATACATAATAGTGTCGTAACAATTAAATAACAGTAAAGAAATGTGTAAGTTCTACATGATAGTTATCTAATAATATTGTAATAATCACACTTTTGCTGAACAAAAAAAAAGAAATCAAAAAGTAGCAGGCACTAGTTTACTTGTTTGGTCCCTTGATGGTTTGGTGATTGGTTCATCCTATTTTCTAAGAATAGTGATCACGGGATTTGAACCTACGCCTTGGATTCGCATCCCCTTGACTACTTATGCCAAATTTGGTCACACTCAAAAAATCGCTTCACTTCTTTGATTATCAATCGACAGTAAAAAAGATAATTTCAGAACAAAAATAAAACAACCCTAAAAAACGGCCGTATAAACTTAAACGGAGGAGTCTTTTTAATTTTTTCGCCGAATTCTTAGTTTGACGGAATAAATGTTACTGATACCTAAGTTTTTAATTTTTTTATTCTTGTTTTGCGATTTGGTTTTTTTTTGAATATAAAAATGCAGACAACAAAAAAATGGTGGGTTTATGATTATTACCAACGCAACAACTTAATTTTGTAGCCATTTTCTAATCAAACTGAATTTTGAACAGATATGAAAATGATCATTTTATTTCTGGAGCTATTTTTTTCTAGTCTGTGTAAAATTCTGAAGTTAATTTGAAATATTTAAATAATATACCAAGAAACTTTTATTTTTGACCGATTCTGCTTACAAATAAACCAACCGTAAGTTGTGATTGAAAAACTTTGAGATGGTGCTGACGTTTGGTTGGCTAAATCTAGCCAACAGTTTGAATTTAAACTAATTTCAGTTCAAAACGTCAAGTACTAATTTTTTGTCGAAACAAGTTAAAAAGCCCTCAATGAAAAGATTATTCAAATCAGCAAAAAAATTTATTGTTTCAATAACCTCAAATACATAACTGTTTTTGATTAAAAAATTCATAACTAGTCTTGTGGGATGGTGAAGCAACCATGTTCTCAATTTTTATTACTCAGTCAGACTATTAATAATATGACACGTTGCGCATTTCAAAATAAACCCGAAAACGTTGCGCTTATCGATCCCCTCAAATTTACCATAACAACAAATTTGAAATCATTGTTTTCACAAAAACAATAAATTAGGAAACGAAATTGATTTTAAAATTAAAAATTGAGGTACAAATTTTATATTCATTATTTTTCTTGGTAAATTCAGAAGTATCGCCTTGAAACAAAGATGTAATTTCATTATTTTGTTTTGTGGTCGGAGTGGTGTCTTTTTTTTCTCCAGACTTACATCGAATTCTTGAGTAGCAATTTGCGGCAAAAATTTTTCAACCATCCAAAAGATGCTATGAGTATGATACGTTTTTTTTTTCGAATTTAAATTCTGCCAACTTGCCCAACTTGGGATATTTTTGCGATAGATTTAGTGCAATTAACGCATAAGCAGAAGTTCAATCCCTCTTAGAAACTGTTTCCAATTGAGTTGAGCCCTGCAATTTGTTCTTTTCAATAACTTGATATATGCAAATTATGTGACCGTTATTTTACATAGCGAGTGCCAGGATGATTTTCAAAAACAAATAAATTTAAATTTTTAACAATTTTTTGAAAGCGAACCCTATGCTTACGAGGCAATCGGAACATTTAGGTCTTTTGATTTAAGAATCTCTCTTATATACGGTGTTTATTTTTGGCCTGAATTATAAAATTGAATGTTTATTTAGGATTTCATTGAGGATTGTTTTGAACCATGCGAATTAATAAGAAATGGTTACTTTGCAATTTCACCCGAAACAAACCATGCAATCAACACTTAACTCTGAGTAAACAAAAGTTGAAAATTAACAATATGAGAAAGCCAATCATTTGATGATTGAAA